TGCTCTCTAACACCACATCTACCATCCAATAAACTGGAAAGGGGAAATGGGGAGGAGAGGGGTGTTAGCAATGGAGGGTAAGCAGCTTTCTTATAAGAGCACAGTCCAGAAGTTATATACATCATCATCACTCACATTCCATTGGCCAGAACTTAGTCACATGGACACACAGGGCAAAGGAACCTGGGAAATACTGTCTTTTCCCAGCAGGCCATATACTCAGCCAAAACTTGGAGATTCTGTTGGCCAAAGGAAGATGGAAAGAATAGATATTGGGGGACAATCATGAGGCTTTGCCACAATTGCCTATTTCTAAAAGGAATTTGAGACTGCTTATAATAAAATTACATAAATATGATAAAATCATAAATAGATACATTCATAGGGGAATCCAGGGTAAGGTAATCAGTGGCAATAGGGTCAAGGGGGAGAGGAAAGTAGGGGTAAGTGTGGTCCAATAATCCATGACCTGGCCCTCCACTTTCCTGATGCAGAGACCTGATTTTGTCAGGGTATCTAGAAGGGATCAGACTATAGGAGATTTATGCGTATGGGCATACTTTGGAGACATTATGGATTTTGGTTCCCGACACCAAAGTAAGGTGAATATGGCAATAAAGTGAGTGTCCCAGTAAAGCTAAAAGCAGTCACACAAACTTGTCCTAACTCTAACCGGTTACTCTGGTTTTTCCATGCAAGTGATCTCAGGATTTCCTTGCACCATCACGCAACCTTTTTTTGCTTTCCTTTGCAGTCTTCATGATTCACACGTTTCTTTGTTACAGGCTTATGTGTTATTTCCCTCCCAAGACAAATGGCCATGCAAAATGTCATCCAGCATATACAGGAGATGATACAAAACACCATAACCTTATCTAAAACAGAAAAAATTTTGACAAACGTTAATTGGACCTTTGTAGAAGAAAAAACAAAGATTGAATATGAATATATCTTTCCTGTGAGTTGATACTTGGCAAAAAATGGTTTTTTTTTTCTTTAACTTGGTTCGACTCTCTTGTTTTATTCTATTGTACAAAACCTGATTCAGTAACTAAATGTCAGAAAACTGGAAACTGATGGAGATAATTACCAATTTTGCTATTTTGGTGAATGGATGAGTTTACAAGCTGGCAGGTTGAGGGTCAGTCAATGGCCTCAGCCAAGATGATGTTTCTAAAGGTTTAGGTAATAAGTAGTATCTCCCTGTCGAAGTGTTATAAAAAGCAGACAACTGTGGTTTAGAAAGCAGGCAAGCGTAGACAGGTTTGGAGAATTCAGCTTCTAAATCTCCCCAAAGGAATATTTACTTCACCATAATTGAAAGCAATACTTCTTATATGGGAAAACGTTATTCAAATTACACTAGCAATTTATAGGCGTTATCTTAGCAATTTAAGCAATTCTGACAAGAGTTGCTGAAATCTTTTCTCCAATATAGAATCTTCTAGCTCCTAATTATTTTTTACTTATTTTTAAACTTTATCTCTTTATGTCTTAAAACTTAGTATGATGCTACCCACACTAAACGTAATGAGAAGTTCCCCACAGATGAAGTTTTAATTGAAGAAGCCAGATTGCATGTAGCTATAATACAAATGGTTGGTACTATTCATATCATCATCTTAATTTCCTTTTTTTTTT